TCACAGGTGGTATTATCATTTTGATTTTTACAGGCAAGAAAACTGAGGCATAGAGAGGTGGAGTAACCTGCATGAAACCACAGAGGTCAATGAGAAATTGAACAATATAGGCTTGTCCCCATGGGTGTAAGGGCCCATGTCTTGGGCACAGAAATTTCTTTGATTGTTACTCAGCCAAACCTGTCATTCCAAGAGTATATTAGAGAAAAAGGAGGAAGGGAAATCAGAAGTAGAAGCCCGTACAACAGTTAGAGCCCTGGCCAACTCATTTGATTGTATCTTGTGGCACTCAAGAGGCCCATGGCCATGTAAATACATCTGTGCAAGAAAAAAAAAAAATAGGCCTTTAGATGACTATTTTTAAGTCTCTCTCAATGGAAGAAAAGAAATAAATATATTGGTTGAAATGAATACTAATCTCAGCTCGATCCAAAGAGAAATAGTTGGTTGTGACTAGCTACCGTGGTAATGAATTGATGCAGTAAGCCTAATAATGAGTTTATTTTAGAGATTTTTGTCTTTGCTATCTGACCATCAGCTACAGACCGAAGCCCAGCCAAGGATATGAAAGTTCAAGTGTAACCTGTCCTGGGGGATCTCTTTTCTTTCCTGACTGATTTATTTTTTAAACAAAACCCTACCTCTAGTATTGTTTCAAATTTAATATGGAGATTGGGTTCAGGAGTTTGAGGCTATTTCTTTCTATTTTGCACATGGTTGTTTTTTCCCCTCACTCATTTCCACAGCCTGAAGCCAGTCTTTTAAAATGGAGAGCCAGGCCCACTTGGAATGGAGGCCACCTGGCTTAGGGGCGTTTGAAAAAGCTCTACAAAGCAGGGCTTTTAAAAGGATTTCCCTTCCTAAAAGTCAAGAGGCCCAAGAGGGATGTGGCCTTTGCCGGGACTCAGCATTGTCACTTTGGAAAGGTGTGGGCTGTTTGGCTGGAGGGACAGTGGCCCCCAGCCCTGGGGCGTGGGAAATGCTTCCAGACACTGGAGGGGTTGGGGGTGGTTCAGAGACAGGGGTATCGAATTCCTGTTCAGCTACCCGGCTCCAGTCAGACATAAATAGGTGGGGGTGAAGGGCAGTTTGCCAGAGGAAGGGGGAGACAGGCCCGGGGCCCTGGCAGCGGAGGCCAACCCACTGAAGCGGCCTTCACCTGTCTTCACTCCGCTCCCCAGGAAGAGAAAATGCTTTCAGGGGACCACGGTGACCAGCAGGGCTGTCTGCTTGGCTGAATCAGCCTGTGTCAAACCAGTGGATTTCAACAAAAGAGGAGTGCTTGCAGGAAGGAGCGAGGGCTGCCAACACGGAAACCATCACCCCCTTTTAGGAAGTACCTCATCTTTTAAAGGACCACCAGGGAATTGGTTTACTCAAGGGCAGTGGTGCATGGGGCCAGCACTGTGCCTGTGTGTGTGTGTGTGCATGCGCGTGCCCACCCCTGTGTATGTGCATTCACACACACTTACACACAGACCTAGGGCAGGGGCTCCCACGGGTAGCAGCTGCTTCGTTCTTTGACCATCTTTCTGAGTGACCGACATTAACCTTTTGTGGTCTAGAAAGAGGAGGCCAGAAATGCAGCTCGATTTTCTTTTCTCTAGGGCAGTGGTTCTCAACCTTCCTAATGCCTCGACCCTTTAATACAGTTCCTCATGTTGTGGTGACCCCCAATTTCATTGTTACAAATTGAACATAATTAAAGCATAGTGATTAATCACAAAAACAATATGTAATTATATATGTGTTTTCCGATGGTCTTAGGTGACCCCTGTGAAAGGGTCATTTGACCCCCAAAGGGGTCGCGACCCACAGGTTGAGAACCTCTGCTCTAGGGCCAACAGGCCATTTGATCAATAAAACACAGGCCACCCCACCCTCTGCACTTCCTGTGGAAGGTTAACAGAAGCAGGGATTGTGCAAAGAGACGGGCACTACCCCAACTGGACAGTGGGCAAAAAGATGGTGTTGGCCTACTCTTTTGGGATTTTTTTTTTACTTTCATGGTATCTGAGTTAGAGTTTCCTTAATTTTTTAAGCCATTCTGCCAACAACCCTGATATTGGAGCTATGGGGAACCTATGTTCTTGGGGGCCATGGTGAGTTTTGCTGTTCAAAGGGTAATTTGAAAGTCTGGGGCCTCCTAGGTGTGGCCCTGTTCCTCTTCCTACCCTGTGCTCCAAAGCATTTCTCTCAGAAGCAGCACCTGGAGGTGAATTTCTTGCTCCGGGGCTGGGGTGGGGGCGGATGGAGGGGGTAAGACAGAGTGGGAACAAAGCACCGATTGTTACGTTTCACCTGTTCTAAGTCTATATGAACAGGTGGCTGGGGGTCTCAGAGGGGAGGAGGGTAAATAATTTCCGCTTGTACTATCTCTGCAGCCACAGCTTTGTGACAGCACGTGGGGAAGCTGCGTTTGATAAAAGTCCAGAAGCCTTTGCCGGAGGGAACTAGGTGTGGCCTTCTCATAATTCGTCCTCCACTCAATTCTCTGCTTCCTTGTCTCTCTGGTTTTCTCCATACCTGTGAGCTCCAGCAGCCCCCTCGGTCCTCAGGAAGCCAGGTGAAACCATTCTGAAGAATTCTTTACCTCCCATCCGGCTAAACAACACAGCTTAAGATGATCAAAATGAATCGCAACCTCGACTGCTCTCTAGAGCTCGTGCACAGCTCTGCCATGTGAGCTGCAGAGGGCTCAGCATTGCGCAGTCGCCTTTTTCTTCTTTTTGGAAAAGTCATGTGGGTTTCCAAGCTCCGTGGATCCCCATTGCCTTTACACCACTGTTCTTCCCTAACATTTAGGTAATATTTTTAAAAGAGTCCCTGTGCGGTCTATGAAATATGGGGATTTCCTGATGGGTGAATTTATCTGGGAGAGAGAAAGGGGATCCTGAGAAATTTGGTTCCTCGGGGAAGCCCAAGTACTTAGAAACATGTCTGTGAGGGGAAGCATTCCCAAGGCCTGGTGTTCCCCTGCATCCAGGCATATTCTCATAACTTTACATTAGCCATTTTAAACTCGATTACACTCATAGCTCAGTCCTCAGCAATAAGATCCACAGTGACATGTCCCGCCTCTGGAGAAAAATTGTGAGCCATAGAAGGTCTAAAGTTGTTCCAGGCATGGCCTAAGCACCTTGGGGGTAAGGGCAGTCTGGTCCCATAAAATCTATGAACAAGGAAAAATCACTTCCTGTAGATAAATGCATGATGGAAAGTGATGTTGAGCAACAATAAGGAGATGTCTGGGCTTTTTTTTTTTTTTTTTTCCCAATCTGCACCTCCCCCAAGTGGATCCATTGTTTTTTAGCAGAGAGCCAAGTGGCCAGTTCCTGGAGAGAGGGCAGTGGAGCAAAAGGCCTGCTTTTCCAATTAATCAATGAGCACAATGCAAGACTCATCAGACATATTAATTGGGGCATGCAGTGATTTCTGTGCATGGGTTGTCAAAGAATGACCTCCAAACCATTGTCCACCTCTGTACCATCAACCCTGACTGCCCTGCCCTACATCTGCCCACCTATTCAGTCTGTGCACCATGGAACATAGCGATTTTCCCCCTCTGTCTCCATGATCCCTTGTCTCCCACACAGTCTTCGGTGGTAGCTGGGATTTTCACACCTATGTCATTTCCTGGAGGAAAAAGGCCTTACATTTCTTAATTTCTCAGAACCTAACCCAGCATTTTTAATGCAGTAGGGGTTGGCCTACGTATTCTAATTGAGGTGTAATCCCAGGGGTATTTGGTAGTCACCAGGACACTGGTGTTATAAGCAAAGCCACTCTGGTCAAGGAAACCTGATCTAAAATGGTGTCATGGAGAGAGGGGCCGTCTTGAGGGAGAGAGACAATTAATTTAAGAACCAATTCCTCTGGGGTCAGGTTCAGGAAGCTTCTGCCACGTAAACTCATGCAGAGAGGAAGAATCAGGAAAAGCTGTCCCTCCCCAAATGGAAAGAATTAAGAGCAAAGCTGAAGAGTAGGGAAGACGGCAAGAGAAGAGAATGGGAGCTGCACGGGCCCAGGTTGCCCAGGAGAAAGCACCTCTCTCAGCTCTCAGGGGACCATCTCTGGGAGAAACAGAGGGAGATCCAAGCAGAATGGAAACTTAGAAGCCCGTCCCTGAAACACAAACTGGTGGGGTGAGTATTCCTGAGAGCCGGAGAGACTGGATGTGAGCCCCCAACTACGGTTTACGAGCCACGTGACCTTGGGCACACCAGAGTAACTTCCTGAGGCCTGACTGCCTGGCTGACAGTTTTGAAAAAGTGACATGTGCTTCATCAGGGTGTTGGGAGAGTCCATTCGGATCAACATCTGCTTTGTAGTCTACTGTGCTATTTCGGTGGAGGTGAATAGTATCTTTTTCAACCCCAGGCACCCCTTTGAATAGCCTCCTATTTCCCTCAGCTCCACCCCATTCCACCTTAGTGGTGTGTGTTCATCTCTCCCTTAGGAATGTCTGTTCTCACCTCCCTTCTTATCAAAAAATTCTTTATCAGCCATTTACACTTTAGAGCCACTGAAGTGTTGTCACTTCCTGAAGGCATTTCTGGTGTCCAACGCAAGCTAGAGAGACATGTGAGGGAGAGGGCCTGCCTGGGCACCTGTGAAATCATGGGATGATTTGCCTCATTTACTCACATGCTAGAGTGGCCCTTTCCACAGCTACCATATTTCATCAATTTCAGGACATATTATTTTGTGTGGTTTTTACATTTGAATGCCTCTGATATAAGACTATCTTATAATCATCGGTTTGTCATAATTTAATTAGCAATGTTTTCTCTTTTTAGGGGTTTATCAAATAATGGTGTATCTCACAATCAAGGGTGTTACGTAGATGAAATACATGACTATTCTTACAGAGATAACATGATCATAAGCAGGAGTTATTAAGGGGTAAACAAGAAAAGTGAGGGAAGGCAGGGGTTGCTTTGAAATCAGATCAGGCAACAAAGAGATGGACTGTTTCATTTTCTTGCACTTTTCAGCTGCTGAGCCTTACCTGGATATTTGGATTCTGCCCGTTGATATCAGCTTTGGAAAGATCTGGAAAGTTTGGTAGATCAAGGAGGAAAGATCTTGGACCATCTCTCTGCAATGAAGGGTGCCCAGCCTCGGGCTGGAATCGCTGTCTAGAGAGTGGCTGGTGTGCCGCCTGGTGGTCCAGATGCTCCCCGGGTGCTTCTTTGGAGAAAGGAAAGCTGCTTTCTGACGTAGAGTCACCTTCCACATTGAGGTTATTCTAAAACAAACAAGAAAATGAACGAATAAATAGGGCATGATTTTAAAACATCACCCTTAGCAGTCTATTAAATTCGGGAGCAAGGACAATTGCAGTGGCTGGAATGAAGCCAGGATGGTATTCCCAACTCATTTTCATTCCCCTGTGGTTTAATTTCTCCATCTTCAATAATTGAGTTATAAATCATCGGGCAACTTCTTCCAGCCTGCTTCTTGGCAATTTTCTGAAGGTAAATGAGTTACCGGTTATGTATTCAACATCAAGCACATCAACACAAAAGTACTATTTTGAAGGACAGTAGGTCCTCATTTAGAATTGAAATCAAATTATGGCTTCCTTTCACAGCTTCAACTGATTAACCACTCCAGTTTAAGTTATCATCCTATATAGTCCAGAGTTTGTTTCTTTGGTGTGGGTCATGGAGCAAAAGATCTGACCAAACTGAATAAAATACTTGAGCCAAATCATTGATTATATGCATTCATCCATTCACTCATCTCTTCTTTCCTTCCTTCCTTCCTCCTTCCTTCCTCCCAATCAACAAATGCCAACCACATGCTAAGCACAGGAGATACAGCCATAAACAAGACAGACATAGGCCCTATTCTCTTGGAGTGTACATCTAGTTGAAAGATATAAACAATAAATATATGGAGAAATCAATAAAATCAGATCAGAGAGTGGTGACTGCTAAGAAGAAAAGAAAGAAGAAAATGATAGAGAGCAGCTGGGGACACTGTTAGGTAGCTAGGGGACGTCTCTGAGAAGGTGACATCTGGCACGAGACTTGAACAAGAGAAGAAGGCATCCTGCAAAGATCTGGGTGGAGGACATTCTAGTAGAAGGAATAACAAGCAAGACAGTCCTGAGGTGGGGATAAACATGGCTCATTTGAAGGACAGAAAGCAGGCCAGTGAGGCTGGTATGGAGCGAAGGAGGGGAGAACAGCATGAGATGAAGATGAAGAGATGGGGGTAGCTGAAAAAAAGTGACAAAATGGCATTCTAAAATTTTAATGTCTTTATTCTGAAAAGTGCAAGCCTGTTGTTTTCCCCAGCTAGTGAAAAATGTCTCTATTTAGTTGTCACTTGGGGGGAATTTTTCCAGTGACTGAAGTGTAGAAATTGCTGGACTTCTTTCCCAAACCAGCCCTTCTCCTCGCATTCTCTCTGGACCTTGTGTTGGAGGCTCCCTCCATCCCTTCGGGGATGGCATTTTCATGTTTACTGGTGGAGGGAGATGTGAAGATAGAATTTCACCAACCCTTGGGTCCGTGGTTAATGTCCTTGTTATTCTTGGGCATGTTTTGGGGTTTGGAGCGTATATTCCAGCACACTGTCTCCACACGCACTCCCCGCCCCCCACCACAGTGCTTCTGACCCAGCCAAAGGGTTATATGTGGTATCAAAACACTCCTGACGCTGAGTCCACAAGGTCAAGCATGGACTGAGGATGAAACTCATGCAGCAGATAAATATCTTCTTAAAGAGCAAACGTGATGGAAGGGATTGTTCTGTATCTCCAACAGAAATGGGACTGAGGAATAAACTCGCTGGTACGGAAACCAGCTTTGTGGATGTTCCAAGAGGCCAAGAAGAGGATTGGGATAGACGGCATGTCTGCGGTCTCCTCTTTAAAACATGAAGTTGCAGAGGGTTTGCTGAATGCTCTCAGCATGTTTTTGCTTGCCCTCTCCTTCTGCCCAGGAGATGTGGGTGGGGGCAGTGTCTTGGTTAACCTTTTCAGCCACCTTTCTGCCATAGTTTTTGTCTCCTGGCACATCCTCATAGAGGGAGTTGCCCTGGCTTGAGAGAGAGAGAGAGAGAGAGAGAGAGGACACACACTACATGTCTTTCCTCAACATAATAACTATCACAGCCCAATGAGAGATAACTAAATGTGATTGTTCCCTTGCTTTTCCCTAACCCTAAAACTCCCCAACAGTGTTAGTGAGGACAGTGGATTCTCAAGGAAAATTTCTTGCGCAGGATTTGGGAATGTAAGTGTCAGAAGGGGGTCAAGATTTGCTTGCCAGTTGCTTGGGGGATCCCCGGCAAACCTAGCCCTAACTGCACTGTAGCAACTGGCAGTTGCTCCTTCATTGGGTTAAAAATGAAGCTCTCTTTCTTTTTCCCTGTGATGAAGTACTCTTTCTCCTACTGAACATACTTTAGAAGAAGAGATAAGAAATGTATTTTTGCTGCTATTTGGCATTTTGCTTAGATAGCTGATAAAACAAGAATCGCATCTGATTGGTTTCTTGATCTGGCTCTGGAATTTTTCCTGGTACGCAATACTCCACCACAGAGTGATCCTGGCTCAGCCATGGACCAAGAAAACCCTTCAATGTCTCTGTGGCTCAATGATCCCCCATGTGAAACAAAGCAGATTATATGGAGAGTCCTGCACCCTCCCAGCAGGATGGGCAAGATAACTCAGGTTGGGCTGTATCTACACATGAAAAGAGAAATAGAGAGTTAGGCGATTGGCTGGACAATTCAGGCCACAAGCGCCTCTGCCGGGAAGAGACTGGGGCTAAAGTATGTTTTGGCTTGAGTTAGGCATGCAATTGTGGCCTTTCTCCATCTTCCTCCAATCCTCCCCTCTCCCTGCCCGCCCTCCCCCACCCTAAGCTCAGTATTTATAAAGGATTTGGCAGATGGGAAGTAATAAGAAATGCTAATCACATTCTCTGACTATTGAATTACTCTTGCATCTCTACCAAAACATATTTATCTAGAAAACCTGGTTTCCTGCAACGGCATGCCCCCAGACTCTTCAGAAACTGGAAGTCCTAGGATGGGGAAGGTATCTTAGCATGGCTCACATAACATGAAACTCTACTTTATTCAATCAATAACAAGATTCTGGAGTAGCCATTATTTTGATGGTATAGATTTTAAATCTGAGGTGGGAGAAGACAGACTGGATCTACCAATAATGCAGGGAAAGGTCTTTTCAGCCTTTCTTTTTTGCTGTTCATCCTCACTAGAGGATGTTTTCCCATTGATTTTTAGAGAGCGTGGGAGGGAAAGGGAGAGACAGAGAAACATCTATGTGAGAGAGACACATCAATTGGTTGCCTCCGGCACATGTCCCCACCAGGGCTGGGGATGGGGCTTGCAACCGTGGTACATGCCCATGGCCAGAATCGAACCCGGGAGCCTTCAGTCTGAGGGCTGACACTCTATCCACTGAGCCAAACTGGCTAGGGCTTTTCATCCTTTCTTAAGGACACACTGCACATTTTTCTTCCAGAGGTCCTAGTGGAGGTCTTCGCTGATGGACAGCACTTATCTCTCACCAAGCTCACTCACTGGGTGTTCCACTTAAATGATACTATCAGAGTGAAGATCTTCAGGAAGTGTGTATCTCAAAGTAAAGATTTAAATAGTTTGTGCTTTACTCAGGAAAGCAAACATCCTTTCTTGAAGACAATAGTTTAGGAAAGTCTAAGAACCAAAGAAAAAAAATGCCACCACTCTTCCCAAAGTGCTGCAGGATTCATTTAGCCTAAATTCAAGTGACATGAGGGGGGTTTGCTTAGTTTAGGAAAATATTTCTTTACCCACAATGTGTCTTTGGCTTGACCTTTAATCTGTGACAGTGCTATGGCTCCAGTAGCAGTGTTCTCTCTGCAACTCTAATTTGAGAGCTGTGACTGCCAATAAAAAGAGAAACAGAAGAACTGAGGCTATTATATGGTTTCTACAAAGGCACTGTTCAAGTGATGAGGTCGTTGATGCACAGTGGCCAAATTATCCAGCCACTGCTGATGCTCCCCATCTCTGTGCATTATTTTACAGCTTATTCTTATCTAAAATAGGAATAAACTAATAATAACATAGGCTTCATGCTCATGTATGTTGCCTTGGATGGCAGTATTGTGGCAGACATTGTGATTGCCTACCCAATATGCATTCCTCCCATACTTACTCAGTGTTTGTTTAGGTGACACAGTGCTGGTTAAAACTATAGTTCCCAGCATCCAATGCAGCCAGGGGTGACCATGTGACACAATCCTGCCCAATGAGATGTAAGTGGAAGGTGCTGGATGGTACTGCTAATTGGAGGCAGAGTCAGTTTGCCTTTTACCTTTCTCTCTTCTACTTTCTCATGCTTGAAATGAGGATACAAATGCTTGAATGGAATGAGGATGAAGTCTGAAGGGAAAGATGGAGGGGCCTGGGTCCCTGAGGGCATTGTAGAGTCATTATACCAGTGGAATGGTGATCTCTGAACTTCTTTTACCCCTATCATCAACACTAATGTTAACCTTGAAAATGTTATAGCACCAGTACCAGTTTCTTATTGTGACTCTAACTCTAATTTGACTATCAATAAAAAAGGGAGAAGCCCTGTTTAGCTAAGTGACTCAAGGTGGAGGTCTGTGCTGTTGGCAATGGGACACAATCACCAGCTGATGAGGTACTGACAGGGCAGTCAGTGAATCATGGTGAACTTCACCATGGTAGCCAGGCTACGGATGCTCAGCTCTGCTGCTAACTTCCCTAATACCCTATGCCAGCTCGGCCATCTATACCCTTCTCCATACACATTCAGAATCTTCTCACTGTTCCAGCCTCTAGACATTGCATTACTAGACATTGCAGTGTAATATTTCCTTTCATTTGTCCTAAAATACTATCGTTAAATTTCAAGGAGTTCACCCTTGCTAAAAGGAACCAGAGCTCCTTGGAAAAATAAATGGCTGATTCCACAGCTTGGGGTGGAAAGTATAGGCGATACTTAATTGGGAAGGAAGCTTTCAGTGACTAACAGTGTCCTCTTTAAAGAACTCAGGAACCAGCTTAAAGGGGCCTCGCTGCATAAAGATTAAACAATTTGGGCCTCAAAACAAAAAGTTTGTGGTTGACTAGCACACATTGAATTGATGAAAACCCCTGAGCCTACTCACAAAAGAGTGGGGTGGAAAGTATAGGCGATACTTAATTGGGAAGGAAGCTTTCAGTGACTAACAGTGTCCTCTTTAAAGAACT